ATTTGGCTTTTTTCCATTCTTTCTAAGCTGCCTGACTTCTTGTGAGAAACTATGGGAGTGCTAACTGAAATTGCAAGGCAATCTCAAAGAACCTCTAAAAAAATAAATAATTTTTATGCTCCCACTGATGTCTATTTTTCTTTATATAAGAGATAAAGATCTATTAGGAACTCAGTGCTATACAGATATTTATGACTCTGTTACCATAAAGTTAAGTCGTCATGTCACAACACTAGGAGGCTTGAAAGTCACTTTCCCTGAGGGGTAGAAGATGATGAGGGGGAAGCTTGAAGTAGAGGGGTAGGCATGGGTGTGATGGGGAGGGCACACCTCAAACAGCGCCAAAGTCGATACAAACTAAGTCAGTAGAGAAGTTGATACCGCTGCTTCCTCATGCACACCTCCCCACTTTGCTTCCACAAGCTGGAGTGGTCGGCTGGACAGCTCTCTGTCTAGAAGAGAATGAAAGCAGAAAGTGAGCAATTCTCAGATTGGTTAATGTGTGGAGCTGTCCCTGGACCCTGTCTTGCCTCTGTGACGACAGCAGGGGTAGGTAGGACTCATTTAAAGTGAGCTGGAATAGCTTCTGTCTGGGCTACATTCTCTTCCCACCCATCTTCGGCTTTCATCAGCCTTGGTTGTGTAAACTAGCCTGATGTTGGTCCCAGAGCTGGCCACCATTACTTAGTGGTTTATGTCAACAGATGGCAAAAAATGCCCATCACATGGTATGACAGTCTGTGAACGCTGAGCAGTCGTCTCCCGTGGCAGATGACACGGAAGAGGTCTACAGACAGGAGAGAACGAAAAGGGAAACAGAACTGCGGCTGTGCGGATCAGGTGTGTGACCAGGCTGTTAAGGCTGAGGCAGTTCATGGAACTAATGACCCCTCTAGAGAAGGTAGCTCCAGATGGGTCAGAGCAGCTTTCCCCTTATTCCAGTCTTTCCCAGAATCAAGTTGTCCGAAACAGTTATTATATTTTTATTTTCCTCCAAGGTTACATCAGTACACTAATAGAGACCATGAAATATCTAATTATACTTTTACCAGACTTATTTCTTAAGCTGTTCTCCTCAAAATAAGGGTTTGGGCAAATACGTTGAACAAGTCAAGATGCATTTTATCAGCCACATAAAGCCCAGTTGAGAAACAGGAACTATATAGTTGGCAATGTATCTTTGAAAGAAAAGATAAAATATTTTGCTCAGCTGGGTTCGCTGGTGCAGGCCTGCATTTTCAGCTGCTTATGGGGTGGAGCAGGCAGACCACATGTTACTATGTAACAAATGTGAGGCTAGCCTGGGCTACTTGGTAATACCCTTTAATGAAGAAACAAAGTTGGCAGGAGGAGAGGTGGGAGAGAAAGTGTGAACATGATGAAAATAAATTTTATGACATTCTCCAAAAGTTAACAAAATGTTAATGAAATAATAATAATATAAAAATAAGAAAAATAAAAGTTAAAAAGAGGCTGAGGACGTAGGACTCTTGCCTAAGATGAGCGAAGCTCCATGTTCATGAAGTTTAATCTCCACTAGAATGTTTTTTTTTTTTTTTTTTTTACATTTAGTAGTATCCTGGATTAAGAGATTTGGTTTATATTTTCATTGCCTGTAGGCCTGTGTTCTCTCCTTAAATACACACATGTGCAAGTACGCAGGCATGCACATACACACACACACTGAAAACTTGGACTGTGTAGTAGTTTTTTTTTTTTTTTACTTTGTTTTTCTGCTAAACAGCATGTTTAAATTGTTTTAAAATCCTTGTTCTATTTGCTTATCATTTCTCCCAAGACGTCATGTTCTAGGAGATGTCTTTAACTAGTAGGTAGCAAAATTTAAGTAATCTTTTATAAGTTTTTGATTTTATGTCTCACATCTGCAAAAGTAACTTTTGTTCTTCTGTTTCAATTGTTGTCTGGCATGCCTACTGCCCCGTCTGCTAACTTAGCCTCCATACAAGTTAATCTAGGCCTACAATGTTTTCAGCCTCTGAGATTTACTGCTGAATAATCTCACCCTTTTTAGCTCTTTCTGAACTCTTGCTGGCTGGCAAAAACTGCCTCTGAATTCCATGAACAAAACTGCCTCGAATTCAACTCCATGGCACTGCCTCCCAAATCCTACTCAGCTGAACTGCCTGAAGAGCACTGACTAGAATTCAGAGTTGTGCATGCCTCTGTCTCCCAGGTGCTGGGATTAAAGGCGTGCACCACCACACCTGGTCATAAATTTTTCTTTACTTGAAACTTGTTCTATGCTGGGCTGGCCTTGAATTCAGAGATCTGCTCGCCTCTGACACCTGGGATTAAAGGTGTGTTTGTATTCTAGCCAGATCACACAGACCTAGAAGGTTTTTTGGATGTGATCTCTTGCCAGAGCAGCCATGTTTTGAGTTAAAATTCCTCTACACACATCTATTCTCTTTTGCTTTTGAATCATTATTTATATCACAGATCAATAAAGTTAAATTTTGTCATATAGTAACAAACATAGTTTCCTTGTTGTATAAGGAATATTAGTTGACAATAGCCAATCCTAGAACAGTATAAATAGCCAACAAAATGGAATTTTTAAAAGATGATCTATTTATTTATTTTTAAATTTTATGTTCATTGACATTCTGCCTGCTTGTATGTGTGAGGCTGTTGGGTCCCCTGGATCTGGAGGTACAGATAGTTGTGAGCTGTACTATGTGGTTGCTGGGAATTGAACCTAGGTCCTTTGGAAGAACAGCCAGTGCTCTTAACCACTGAGCCATCTCTTCATCCCAACAAACCAGAATTTAAAGCAAAAGTATTAATTGGCAGATAAAGGTGCAGTCTATGGTCCTAAAAGAAGTAGTAAAAATTATTTAACAATTATTAATTTGTATGTGCTGGAAAATATACTAAAATATAGAAAATAAACACTAATAGAATTTTAAATGAGACAGACCAATTCTGTGAAAATTTTACTAATGCTGTGAAAAACTTAAACCCTACCTAGATGTCCCTCAAACAAAGAATGGATAAAGTAACTGTGGTATATTTAGATAATGGAATACTACTCAGCCATTAAAAACAAGGAAGTCATGAAATTTGCAGGCAAATGGAGAGAACTAGAAAAGATCATCTGGAGTGAGGCAACACAGACCCAAAAAGACACACATGGTGTATACTCACTTATAATCGGATTTTAGTCTGCTTTCTCTGATGGGACTCCCCTACCAGGCTGCAGGGGAGGAAGATGAACTCAGTCCTCATGTGAATAGATGAGCTGGGGTGTCTGGGAAGGGGCCTCCCCTATTCTGAGGATAGGAGAGAGGGAATGTGGGAGGGTGGGCCTGGGAAGAGAAGAGGGAGGGGCCTATGACCGAGATGTAAATTGAATTAATTACTAAAAATATTTTTATCAAAGAGCAGTAATGGAGTCCATGTCAGAAAAAGTCCCTGCTTCCCAGACTAGGGAACCCACATGAAAACTGAGCTGCCTATCGGCTACATCTGAGCAGGGGGCCTAGGTCCTCTCCTTGCACGGTTCTTGGTTGGTGCATCAGTCTCTGCAGCCGCTCCAGGGCCCTGGTTTGTTGACTTTGTTGGTCTCCTTGTAGAGCTCCTGTCCCCTCCAGGTCTTTGTATCCTCCCATTCTTTCATCGGTCTTGCCAGGCCACAGAGGAAGAGGATGCAGGCAGTCTTGATACTTGATAGGCTAGGGTTAGATGGCAGGGGAGGAGGGCTTCCTCTTTCTGTAGAGCTATTTTCCAGGGGGTGGGGGAGACAAAAATTTGCCAAATATTCACAAGAAGGAAAGAGTTCAATGAAGTATCGTACATCCACACAACGAAGTGTCGTCTTTCTGAAGAAAGCATTGACGTGCACATCCATCTACTGGTTTGAAATATTCTCTGGGTATTGAGTAGAATAATAGAGGGGTAAATTGTATATATTATGGTTTCTTTTTATTTGAAGGACTACTTTTTGTTGCTATTAAGAGAAACCAAGGGGCACCCAAATCTAAGAGGAAAAGGCTTAGTTAATGGCAGGGCTTCTCAATAGCTGAGACTGGGTCTTTGTTATAGCGGAGTGCGTGGGAGAATGGATGGTCGCATCTCAGCTATACAGGATGACCTCCCTGTAAAGCTGGCATCTGCTGTGAAAGCCAGCCAGGGTCAAATGTCCCCTAGAGGGCACAATTGTCTTCCTTTGACTATTCCTGCAGGTAGTGGACAAAGGAAATGAACGAAATTTCTACATGTTATCTTTGTTATTTTTCTGTGGACTGACTTGAAAATTTGTAAACATTTAACATATTGTATAATAAATTACCCTCCAGCAAAGTTTCTAAAAAAAAAAAATCACAGCAAAACTAATTAAATGATTTCACCACACACGGAACTGGTGTTCCAAATGGCCTTAAAAGTAAGTTAACTGTACATTTTTAGTGAAAATGCCCTAAGCAGGAAAGTAACAAAAGCGCCTTCTTTCATTTATCAGTATTATTTTAAAAACAATACTGACATTATTGGAGGAAATAAAAACAATCGGTAATTATGCTGCTGTTGTTAGGAATCCGTTGTTTTTATATGAGAGAGATATAAATGCGTGCCTGTGGGTGCGGGTGCTGGAAAAAGCCAGAGGAGAGCGCCGGAGTTGCGGGTGGCTGTGAGCTGTGTGGCATGCTATGCTGGGAACCGGAGTCGGGTCTTGCGTGAGAGCCACATCTAGGGCTACCCAGAGACACCCTATCTCAAAAAACACAGTTTCCAAGGAAAAAGAGGAGGGAGATGTAAACACTGAAAGCGAACCCGTTCAAAGAGTGTAACAACAAAACTGTTGGTTTGAATAGTGGCTAAATATGTGATAATATTAATGTTCGTTAGATCTTAGAGACTTTTTTTCCTTCTAACAAGAAAGGTATCCTTTCACACATCTCCTGCTGAAGTATGGGTGAGTGAAACGGGATGACTTGGGGTGCCGCTCCCATTGAGAGAAGCGCTCTCTAAGGCCTGCCGAAATGGTTTGGGATTCGCGGCTGATATCTGAGCGGTGCAGGCAAGCTTTTCCAGGGGGTAACACATTCACCGGACTGCCTGGAGAAGAGGGAAGTAAGTTTGCTTAATGAGTCGTTCTGCCTTCCCTTATCATCTGCTAGCATCCATTGCTTACCTCCGGCAGTGAAATGGATGGTCCTTGTCTATTACTTCCCCCAAACAGGAAACGAGTCTTTTTTTCTAGACATTTTTAGGTTTCCCTACAATTTCCTCACATTCTATGCTTAAGCTTCTCTTGACCTGCTTTAAGGCCTTATATAATTCCTGAGATGTTTGTGTTTAAAAACTTAAAGCTAGGTGTTTGCAGCTGTGGACGCACCGCTGTCTGATGCCTGCACCGCCTCTCGCTTGCCTAGCTCCAGCCGAAGGAGAAGGGGTAAGTAAGCAGGTGCTCTAACCGTGGCTTCTGCAAAGCAGACGGCCCGCAAAGCCACCCGAGGGAAAGCACCCAGGAAACAACCGGCTACAAAAGCCGTTCATAAGAGTGCGCCCTCCACTGGAGGGGTGAAGACACCTCCTCCTCCCAGGCCAGGCACTGCGGCACTCCGTGAGATCAGACACTATCAGAAGGCCACTGAACCGACTCGCAAGCTCCGCTCCCAGCGTCCGGTGCAAGAAACTGCTCAGAACTTCAAAACAGATCTGTGCTTCCAGAGTGCAGCTTTTGCTTTGCAGGAGGCATGTGAGGCCTACCTGGATGGCCTTCTTGAAGATACCAGCCTGTGTGCTATCCGTGCCAAACGCGTAACTATTGTGCCAAAAGATATCCAGCTAGCACACCGCATACGTGGAGAATGTGCTTAAGAGTCCACTAAGAGGGGAAACATTTCATTCTCAAAAAAAAAAAAAAAAAAAAAAAAGTTTTTTCGTCTTCTTCCTGTTCTCAGTAGTTCTGAATGTTAGATATTTTTTTCGATGGGGTCAAAAGTTGCCTAAGTATATGATTGTGAGTGGAGAAATAGGGGACAGAAATCAGGTATTGGCAGTTTTTCCATTTTCATTTGTGTGTGACTTTTTAATATAAATACAAGATGTAAAGCATTAATGCAATTAATGAAATACGTTCAGCGAACGTATTTCAACAGTTCAACTTTATAACAATTATAAATAAACCTGCTAAAGTTTTCTGGGCAATGCCAGCATTTGGATTTAAAAAACAAATAAGTCAATTTCCCATTGACGGCAATTAAATGGTGTTTATGGCATTTTTATCATACGGTAGATTCCATCCATTCACTGTACTTTTCTGAGTTGTGTTACATGCAAGCACGTGGTTTTAATGTTGTCTGTCTTCTGTGCTGCTTCTGTAGGCTTGCTGTTAAAACACATTGAACTATAAAAAATTAAAAGCTATTACGTTTCATCTATTCTCAGCACATGTTGAATTTGCAGCTTGGCTACATTTGGCTATAACACCCAGTATTTCTTGTACTATTATTTGTTTTTATCATGAAATGACTTCCTACTTTAATTTTAACATGTTTATACTGTGAAGTAGTTTAAAAACAGCAGGCTAAAACTATATTTAAACGTCTTTAATTTTATGTATGAAGATATTATCAAGGAAGGGAAGATATGACCCTCCCCCAAACAAAAACTAGAAAAAGGACACAGACCAATAAATTGAGTTGAGGCACGATTGTTTCTTTGAAACAGTTCCTCAGATAAGTGAAATCCGGTCACCGTTGTTTTGCCTCTATTCTGAATTGTCACCCATCTTAAGACACCTGTCTTTAGAAATGACATCGCTCTCTTCCTCTATTCTTTACCTTCTCGATGCTCTCCAGCAAACTATCACACTGGGGTTCATGAGCTGGTAAAGTCCTATTCATTCATGGAGCTATACATCTGCTGTTGAGTTTTCATTCGCAGAATTATGAACTTTGACAGAAGCAGGAGGAACACCATCTGTGGCCCAGGCCTTCTGTCCTCCCTGCGAGGGCTTCAAGGTCGCTCGAGTTAAGTTCCACTGTGTGCTGTCATTTCTCCTGTTGAATCAGGAGCGGGGAGCCCGTATCCAGTATGTGTTATACGATTGTCTGGCTCACTTCAGAGCTATTTTTGCTTCATGAGTGTTGAAAAAATTCTCCCCATCAACTCATTGATCTCTAACAGGAATTGTTTAGGTTGCTGCCCCAAATGGAGTTGAATGTGAAAGATGTGGCGGTGTTTGCCCTATGTACTGCTGTATGGAGGGGGTGTATTTTAGTGGAATGAACACCAAAATCAGGGACGTTCATCCCTAGAATTTACCAATAGAGCGATTTGAGAGCTTGTCATTAGCAGCCAGTGAGACAGCCTGCAGCTAAAGGCACTTACCATGTGCAAGGTAGTTGGCCTTTCCTTGTCCCCTGGGACCCACGTAGAAGTAGAAGGACAGAACCAACTCTACAAAGTTGTCCTCTGAGCTCTATACATGTCACTGATGTGCATGAATGCTCACTCCCATCACACATGAACACACAATAATATAATCATATTATATTATACCAATAGTATAATAATAAGAAGAAAGAACTTGTCATTAAACTTCTCCAGTGCAACAAGGTAGAAATGATAAAGCCTGGTATTTTCATTAATATTAAATAAAATGCTATATATCAAAGTATGCATACTTGGCAAATGTTTTATTTGCAGATGTGTTAGCATTACTGTATACATTATTGTATGTATGTAATATTGCAGCTATGTTATTATTGCAATCGACATATCAGCTCTTGAATTAATGGTTATTTTGAAAGTCTTGATATACTTCTCTTGTTTTTTATCTGTATAACATCAGGCACTCCCACTGTTAAAGAGTTTATATTCTTGGCCATTCTTCCACCTGAGAGACAGGGCATTGAAAAAAAATATTTTACAAACTTTGTTTTTAATTTTGTTGTATAATTTCCTGATTGGTTCTTCATTTGTAAATTTGGGGTGATAATGCTAAGCTCACAAAGTTGTCACAATGGTTAAAGAGAGGAGGTGATTAAGCAATCTGGATTTCTTGGGTTAAGAGTATTTCCTGAATATGTGTATATGGCTATGTCGTGGATAGCCCTTTTGATTTTCGCTATTTCTTTGATCACATTTTTCTTCCACCACATAAGTATCCTTTTATGTTCTCTGTCTTCTGACAAGGTCTTTCTTGTATATCTCTGTATACCTCAGACTTCTGTATGTGGGCACCATACCTGGACAGTGTTCTTTACAGGTGATCCTAGGCTGTGCCAACTTCCCCAAGTCAGAAACTTTTGACACATTGCTGTATTTTACACAGAAATAAATCTAGCTGGATTACCTTCCATAAGCTCTGAAAGGTTGGGCCTCTCCATTTGGAGTCCATCACTACTTTAGTTTAGCCTCTTGCCTCTTTGTACCTGAATTATTCCAATAGCCTTCTAGGTCTTCGGTCTACAGAATTCTCTGTCTTCCACATGATTCTCTTCATTAGTGCTGGTTGCTGTGTCTTGGGATGCTCAGTGGGAATGGCGTTAGCAAGTGAACAACCTTACTTCAAGGGTGCAAAAGTTCACCTTATGTTCCCGCATTATGAAAAAGAAGAAATTAAGAAAGAATCCAGTGAGGCTTGTTTTTATAAACTGTTTTCTCATTTTTTTAGAAGCCAGAGAGTCTGCTAAATTTTGCTAGGTGCCTTTTCTGTACCTGTGGAGATAGTTGCACAGTTCCCCCCCCCCCCCCATCCTTTGAGGTAATAATGGACTTTGCAATGTTGCACTGTCTTTGCACTCCTATAATTAAACCACCCTGGTCTTCGTGTCGTTTCCTTTGTGTGTACTAGTAGATGCTATCTGTCCATATGTGAACATATGTGTTCACACTGGTAATCACAAGTGAGATGAATTTGCCGCTTTTTTTCCCTTTCCATGTAAAGTTTCTGAATTTAGGTCTCAATATTTTTCCTGCATCTTGAAATTGAATTAGTCTATTTTCCCTTTATATATACCCTGAGAAATTTAAATAACACTGGAATTTTGTGATTGATAGAGGTTAGTTGAAATCTAGCCCTCCCGTATCCAAATATTTGAGTTTTGTGCTCTTTATTAAGTAGTTACCTTACCATTTTATTTTATTTCTGGGATGAATGCTAGTCTTTTTTTTTTTTTTTTTTTTTTTTTTTGCATTTTTTCTTTTGGCATAGTAAGATCACTAGAATAATTTTCATTTCACAAATTTTGAAATTTATTGTTTACAGTTGTGTGACATAGTCTTTTAAGATTTAACATTTTTAATTAAGGTTGGGAGGTGGCTCAGTGGTTAAAGCACTTGCTAGGCAAACGTGAGAATGTGAGTTTGGATCATTCTCTGCCACACAAAGCTGACAGAGTAGTTGGTGCCTGTAATGTTCTTGTGATGAGACGGGAAACAAGGAAAGAAGAACCCACAGAAGACTATAGGCCAGGTAGTCTGGAATAAACAGTGGCCAACAACAGAGAACCTGTCTCAAACAAGGTAGAAAACACTGACAGACACTCAGGATGATCCTAGGACCAAACACCATACTGGCATGTATACCTCTGCTCTCATACGAAAACATGCACACATACATGTGATACACTTACCGATGTGGTTATTTGACCATTTTAACTGCTTATTTTGTGTTTATGCCATTCTTTATTGATTAAGTTATTACCTAGCATTAACAACATTTCTATTCAAGAGCCAACATTTTATTTATATATTGGTTCTGCTATTTTTCTTTTTTCTATTTTTTTTGTGTTTTTTTTTTTTTATTAATTACCCTTTATTCACTTTGTATCCCCCCCATAAGCCCCTCCCTCTTCCTCTCCCGGTCCCACCCTCCCTCCCTCTTCTTCACGCATGCCCCTCCCCAAGTCCACTGATAGGGGAGGTCCTCCTCTCCTTCCTTCTGATCTTAGTCTATCAGATCTCATCAGGAATGGCTGCATTGTCATCTTCTGTGGCCTGGTAAGGCTGCTCCCCCCTCAAGGGGAGGTGATCAAAGAGCAGGCCAATCAGATTATGTCAGAGGCAGTTCCTCTTCCCATTACTGTGTAACCCACTTAGACACTAAACTGCCATGGGCTACATCTGTGCAGGGGTTCTAGGTTATTCCATGCATGGTACTTGGTTGGAGTATGAGTCTCTGGGAAGACCACTGTGTTCAAATTTTCTGGTTCTGTTGCTCTCCTTGTGGAGTTCCTGTCCTCTCCAGATCTTACTATTTCTCACTTCTTACATAAGATTCCATACACTCTGCCCAAAAAATGCCCATAAGTCTCAGCATCTGCTTTGATAGTCTGCAGGGCAGAGCCTTTCAGAGGCCCTCTGTGGCAGGCTCCTAGCTTGTTTCCTGTTTTCTCCTTCTTCTAATGTCTATTCTCTTTGCCTTTTGGGATGGGGAATGAGCATTTTAGTCAGGGTCTTCTCTCTTGATTAGTTTCTTTAGGTGTACAGATTTTAGTAGGTTTTGTCCTATATTACATATCTTTATCAGTTTGAATTGATACTTAAAGACCAATTCTTTGATGATTCTAAGTACATGGACATAACACTTGTGACATCTGGTGATACATTTTTTTCATCAAATTATATTTTACCTTTAAAGAGACTGAACTTCTGCCAGATTTTGAACCAAGCTGATAATATACCTTGAGATCATTTAAGATTATATATGTAACCGACTGTCCTACTGTGTACTCAGCCTGGTTAAGTTTAACGTGCCTTTAAGGAAGCAGTGTGGCTAACCTCACTGTGCCTTGGATTGCCCATGTAATCAGCTTTATAACCTAACTAACACATAGCTTTAATATTAAGCTGTAAATCTTTCATTCCTC